TCTTCCGTTTGGAATATTGTGTATGTCCTCTCCCATGAATACCTACCTTTCGCCCATCCCCGACGCGTCGGGAGGTGGCCGCCGGGTCGGTCGGATTGTTCGCTAATGGCGTCACCCACGGCCGCCGCCGCCACCTGACCCAGCCACCTACCTACTCATCGTGTATGCAGTCTCGGCGGAATGCGCTACAAGCCAGACGCCGCGGTCGCGCCCCCTTTCGCCGCAATGTGAGTGCCAACTAGTGTGCAACATCAACAATCAGGGCCGGCTTTTACTGCCCGTCGGTGTCTGCCTCTGCTGCAGTGAAATGCGGGCATGTTACGGTCGCTGCGCACTAATTTACCTAACTGAGACGGTTGCACGTAGGATAACACTATCATGCAGACCTAAACTAAGGCGGGCGGAGGCAGCTACTCAGTCTTCGGCCGCGCCAGGATCCAGAGGGCTCAGGTGATATTCCTGTTTTCGCGCCGACACCGGTGACCTCAGCGCGATAGCCGGAACGAAAGCCATTTCTGGGAACCACTCGGCCTGGACCGTGTCCGTCCGAGCACTCCCTGTGTCCGGGGGGGGGGGGTCTGAGGACGGTCCAGGTCACCGACACCACCCGGCGCCGGCACCGGCGCGGCGCGGAGACGGGCACCGGGTGACGCCGATAGCGCCCTCGGCGGCCGACCCGCGCCGCCGCCGCTCACCCCGCACGTGCCGCGACCCGATGCAGGCCGCTCGTCCGGCCGGCACAGCCGCACATTACCAATGGTAATCAGCGTGGGGTGGCGGCGCCGGGCGAATTCCGTCCGTGTCCGGTACAAAGCAGCGCTGTCAGTGACCGCGGCCCTGTCGCCCGGCCGGTGCCCCGCCGGCGGCTCCATCTGATGTGGCGACGGGGGATCCGCTACCCATACCTATATGGACCCGCCGCTGTGTTGCGGTGTCCGCTACTGTGCGGCCGGGGAGGGACGGCCAGTGGTGGCTGCGGAGGCCGCCTCCCTCGTATGCCCGCGGGCGGCAGAGGCTGCCTCCCCGATCTCTCCGCAGGCTGCAGAGGATGCCACCGAACACATCTGGCTGCTGGTCTCCCTAACGTAACCGCCAGCCGCGGGCGCTGGTCTCCGCAATCTGACCGCGGGCTGTAGTGAGTGTAGGGGCTCGTTTCCCTGATCGAACCGCCGCGCCGTCCGCGGAGGCTGCGCTGCCTCCCACATCTGGCGGCGCCGAAGTTCACCGGTCACGGTTCACCGCCCGCCCTCTCCGCCGGGCCGCGGCGCGCACTCGGAGCGCTAAATCGGGAGCAGCATCTCGGCGGGGCCGGGGTGCTGAGCGGGCGGAGCCGGCTCCCAGCGGGTACATACCGCGCCGAGCGGAGCCGCTCCAGGGGATGATCGATGGATCACCGCCAGCTATCGATGCATATCACAGCATCTCAACGCCCATTAGCATGCTCATCGAACGTTCCCTTTCACACGGCCCACGGTGTGTAACTGACCTATCCACCCGGCTCGCTGGGCGCAGATTGGTTAGTCACGGTACCGATTGCCCACTGCGGGGCAGTCACAGGCCCACCGCAGTGGTGACGCGACCCTGACCTGCGGACGCGCCCTGCCATCCGGCTGGTCCGACGGCGCCACCGCCATCGATCCAACAATGGCGGCCGGCGCCGTCATCGCTCGCCCCCGAGCTGCTGCGATGGCTTATGAATGGCCCGCCTCGCATTGTTGACATCGCTCGAGTTTCAAAAGCGCCTTCCATTGAGTTTGATGCGGGTAGGCTCCATCACTTCAGCATTCAGTTTGGTTACCGATATATAGTGACTGAATAATAGAGAATCGGTTTGTCGATGTGTAGGTTGATATATGGTACCAATATGTCATAGCTGGCAGCTGACCTGCTACGCTGGTTTATGTGACAGTCGCTGAATTCCAATGGATTGACGCACTGAACAACTTTTATAGTCCGTGCGGCGTGCACGTTTCTGCTGTAGCTCGTAACTATAATGTGGTGTTGAAATGTGATGTGTTTATTTTACCCATTTGTTTAAATGTTACCAATTATCTTGTTACAACTATTGTTCATTGCACTATTATATTTCCTCGCCTATTACAATATAGGTACTGCTCTCAAGCAGCTTCCGCGAAATGTGCAGGAACTCAGGTTTGTTTTTCAATTGAACTACGCAATTCTAACGAATAGTGATTTTAACTTTTGAACGCAACCCTTCGGTTGTAAACATTTTAAATATAATTTCCCGGCCTCCTTAGACCACTTGGTATCTCTTCGGGTAAAAATTTAGTACTGTTCTGTTTGAAAGTCATTTTCCCTGCTAATTTGCAATGGAACAAGCTGATATAAACCGTAACAGGTACCTAATTTTTTTTCGGCAAAATATGGACTGCTGAGAAGAAAGTGTCACTACTGGATCAGGGCTGCGGAGTCGGAGTCGCAGTCAGTCGGAGTCGATAGTTCGGCCCGGAGTCGGTGTCGGAGTTGCCAAAATCTTACCGACTCCGACTCCGGTGTCGGAGTTAACGCTGTATGGCTGCATGTCCCTGCACCGGAATGAATGACTCGAGATTGACGATGCTCGAAATTAGATTTTGTCGAAAAAGGTAATTGTGCTTTTTTGGACGAACGTTTTCAGCGAGCGAAGCAGAAGAAGTTGAATTCCCCAGAAACTGCTTTTTAATCATGCATGTTATTGTTAATGCATATTTGCAACGAAAGGGCTCGGAAGGCACGTAGGATCGTTTCAGGCAAGATGAAAACATATCCATTATTAACTTTAATATCATGGTATGAGGGGTAAATGATAACAATAACAAGTCAAATGTATATTTAGACACACAAAGCTTTCGGTACGAAAATACCTTGATCACTGTGTTACAGAAATGAGGACAGAAATATATAGGGCCTTGACAGAAATGATCACCGGCAGCTTGTAGGGGAAGGTGGGGTAAGGCGGACCAGCTAAGGTTTGAGGCCGCATATCTTGCTACACTGCTCTCGTAATTCATATTATTTATAGTCTTCGGAATGCTCAATCCTTCCTCTGTTGATATGTGTAAAGACTAAATTTCAAATTAAAGACATCTAGGTGGTGGATGCTCTTAAAGAGGGACATGTCAAAAACTCAGACAAGAAAAAACGTGGGGTAAGATGGACCACCCAGCAGTGCCTGCTATCCGTTCATGTGTGTTACACTTCTGCTCTGTACTCTTGTAAAAAAAAGTAACCAGAATGGTAAAATAACAAAATGAGCCTTTATTCTTTACTCATGTGTGATGGAAGTGCAGCTAAAAGCTGGGAACATGTGTGTTGATTGTCGTTTGGCATGAATGCATGCTAACTGAACACTTGCATGCATGGCTCACATGCAACAAAGACTCCTTCCTAAAAAATTAGCTTACTTAAACTTGTGTCAATGTTTTGGAAAAGAACTTTCCATATGCAGGGTACAATGGACCACCACAGGGTAAGATAGACCACAGTGGTCCGTCTTGCCCCAAATCTAAATTCTGTCATTATCATGACGTATATGTCAAATAGCCCAACATTGCAAAACCTTGCCTTTCCTAAAGTGTGACTTTAACTAAGTTTATAACTTTGTTCTTCACAGTTAAGGGCAAAATAGAAACTAATCATGCAAGAAAGGCGCCGTAATTGAATCACCCGTAGACCTCTTATATTAGATCGGTTTGACGAAAAACAACATTTTTCTCAATAACTCAAAAGCTATGCATCCTAGCAGCATGAGCTCAAGGTGGCCATTGTTACGAAGGAACACAAACATAGTAAGTGCATAAAGCAGTAGATGCCAGCAGCGGTTTAGCCGGGACGGTGGTCCGTCTTGCCCCGCTGGGCCAACGCTGGGCCGTCTTACCCCACCTTCCCCTACACAAATATAAAATAGCACTCGAAAAATATGTCACAGTCACGAGATTAACTATCTGGGTCCTGCCACTAAGTTCACAGCGCATGTTGCTAAAGTTATAAATCCAGTTCTAGTATTGATGGTATCACGTGCAGATATGTGAGCCATCAATACCATCAATACCATCAATACTAGAACTGGATTTATAACTTTAGCAACATGCGCTGTGACCTTAGTGGCAGGACCCCGATAGCTAATCTCGTGACTGTGATATATTTTTCGAGTGCTATTTTATATTTGTGTACAAGCTGCCGGTGATCATTTCTGTCCTCATTTCTGTAACACAGTGATCAAGGTATTTTCGTACCGAAAGCTTTGTGTGTCTAAATATACATTTGACTTGTTATTGTTATCATTTATCCTAACTGTCGTGGATAATTTACATATATCATGGTATGAATTTTAATGGAACCGTCCGGAGTCTGAATCTGAGTTGGTGTCCGAGTCGATTTTTGAAGTCGGAGTCGGAGTCACCCTAAAATACATCGACTCCGCAGCCCTGTGTTGAACACTCAAGTCATAAACACGAGTCTCTTATCACGAGGCTCACGAGGGCGAGGCTCCTGAAAATAAGAATGTAATGCTCCGTAGGCACTGCCAGAACGTAGAAGAACGATATGCCGTAGATAACACTTCACAAAGGGTCCAAACAAAAAATAGTCTTCTGTGCAAAGATCTGACAGCATTCACAGCATTGACAGCATTGACAGCATGCAAAGATCTGACATGGCAGTGGAAAAGTCACTTTTCTGCGTGCAATATGAATTTAACCCTCGCCGGACCTATTGGTCTTCTACATACGCGTCGGGGCCGAAAGGGGGAGGGGGTTACGAACCTCACTCGGTTTCGCCTCTAATTGAACTAGAGCCTCGCGGAAAAACGAGCTTGTGCGTGGTTACGAGACGCAGCGATTGGTTCCCGATTGTAAAGACTCAGGTCCTTTGGTGATCCCCCCCCGCCGGTCAGCGAGGGTTAAACATAATAAAAAAAAAAAATGCGCGGAGTGCGTATCGATCTATCGGGGTGGGCACATACTAGGGTATACTGAATGAGGGTTAGAAGGGGCACCTACCGTCCTCTGGTGACGATGACGACCGCTGCTGCTGTGACGTCTCTCACTGGGACGGCGCTCCCATCCGTCGGTACCGGCGCCCCCTCTGCGTCTGTCCGGTCACTGCAGGCGCGCACCTCTGCAGCCGGCCTGCCCGGCGGACCCCGCGCGCCCTGCGCCGTCCCGGGGATGTCACCTGGTTACACGGCAGCGGCGCGCTGCTCGACACCCCGCGCTGCCGCCCGCGACTGGCCGCCGGGCGCGTCCGAGCGGTGCAGGCGGCCGGCCGGCCGGCGTTCCGCCTGGCTGGACACTGGCAGCCGCCGGCAGACAGCTCCTCTCGCAGCCTCGTCTCTCACAGTCAGAGACGAGGCAGATGTGACGGTATCTCTCAGTTCCGGCCGACATCTCACACATCGCCAGATGGCGCAGAACCGTACCATACCGGCCGATATTTCGCACAAAACAACCGTAAACGTGACCATACAACATGCAGCCGTAGCCAGCATCCACCTCATACTCGGCCGTGCGGCATACGGTGCAGTCGCAGAGAAATTCACTCAAGATTTTCGGTATGGAATGCTGTGGTGTTACCCTTGTGCGCCGCTGCAGTCTCCCGCGCGCGGGATATCTTTCTGTTCACTATTGCAGTTTCCAATGGCGTGATGCAGAGCGGTGGCGGCGGCGCCTAATGTACCTATGTACTCTAGCAGTTTCGGAATGTTTGCTTTCCGGAAATGTCAAAATAATAGGCATCCCGAAATCTCAAGACTTATTTCCATAAAGAGTTAACATATTTTTTACTGTGAGTGTGACATCCACTTCCCTTTACTTGTTGAACGAAACGTATTTTTTACTGAGACATACACTTCCATATGCCTAGTTGCTTGTTGAACGACGTTCTCCTGAAATGCTATTTGTTAGAAGTAGCCCCTGCCCCCTACATGCCGAGTGACGGTCATGTCCACGCTCGTAGGATTAATGCAATATAACATGGATAGACATTGGATGTTGAACCAAGTCCAAAAAGGACACAATTATCGGGGAGATTTAGCACCGCCCGGACACATGCGGGATAGCGTTATTTGTATGATTGCAGTCTCCCTTGATGTGTGATAGCTTCCCATTCGGCATTGAAGTTTCCTGACAGTTTTTTTTCGGCTGGCATGTAAATAATTACATTACACCCTGTCGTAAGTCGTATCATCTAGGTACATAATTAGACGTGTGTCCTTTCGTAAACTGAATCTTACGTCGGTGATTAAATGGCGGCTGTTTTTTATAGGCTAGATAGATACTAGATAGAACCCACGCTGGCGCCGCGAGCCGACGCCGCAGCCCGCAGCGCGCAGGCGACTCCTAGAGGGCCGTGTGACGTACATAATGATGTCAGCGGCAGCCGATCAGCGGATGTTGACTGGTTTATTGCGGCGATAGCCCTATTGAACTCTGCAGGGATGAGCGTCTATCCGGCATTCAATACCGATGTGATATCGCCGGTACCATAAAAACTACTAGGTAAAAAAAAAAATGAGGCACGGCTTCTCACCTTATGTCTTTTTTTTTCTCCTGGAGACATTTTCACGAATGTCTCCTGCATTCGTGATCCATTCATTTGATCGCCGGCTTCTCACTCAACAAGTGGCTGGCTTTGATATAGGTAGGTACTTGGGGCAGACGTATCGCTAGCAGCGGCGTTTGGATGACGTAGGTGAGTAGATGTAACTACAGGTATTCTTTTCGAATTGCATCTTTTCTCAATTCTCTATAGTGTCGCTGTAGGACATTTTATACCCCGCTGATGCAAACCAGAGCGAGCTATGAAGGATCGACGCCGGGTGACTACACATCAACGCAAACAGTCAGCGGCAGGCAGCGCTGGCTTTATGTAAAAGTAGAGCTATTGACCTGTTACAGTAGAGCTAGTTGCTCGTGCAGTGCTTCACACCGTTCCATGCTTCTATCCTCAGGATACGGAAATCCTTCTCCTCCACGCCGCAACCCCCCTCCGGGCTGGACAGGCAACTTTATATCATGCTTGCTGCTCCCTTGGAGCGGCACCGCTGCTCCCGAGGGAGCGCACCCCGTAGCCAGGTGCAGTGGGTACCTTGGGGCTGGTCGGCCTGTCCTTCGGGATGGGCTCAGCCCCGGTGACTCACTAGGGTGCCTGCCCAGACCAATGTCTCCCCCTAATTCCTATCATCCTTCCGGCTCTGAAATGGTCTAATTGGACCGAAAGGGCCTAACCCAATAAAAAAAGCAGTGCTTCAGCTTCCCTGGCCCAGCTGCTCATTGGGAAAGTGTCCAGCTCGCCACCTGAGCTGACCGGTGCAGCGCCGCAGCGGCGAGAGCGGGTTCGAGCCGTCTCGGTTCAGTTCACGTTATTTGTTTCCGACGCATAGCCTATACCTACCTACCGGCGTCAGTAGGCCAGTGGCGGTGGTTACGGCACAGTGCAGAATGCCGAGCGCCAAAAATGATGACGAAATCACTTCGGTCACTTTTTGGGTCAGGTCATCAGCAGTAGCGGCGGAACACCTTCAATTAGGGGGGGGGGGCACGGTGCCCCGGTACCCTCCCCGTTCCGCCGCCTATGGTCACCAGAGGTCATCGAAGGCAAAATTTCGCCGATTTTCAGGTCGAATGTCTACAATTTCCAAGAAGCCCACGCATAACTCGGGAACCAATAGAGCTATAGCGCCGCAGAAAAGCGCATTCGATAGCCCTATTAACGCTCTTTCTGTGTAATTCCTCATAGTTGACCTAACGTCAACGGTTTTGCCTGCAGGGGGCAAAAACTGCCAAAATAGTCTATTTTTTCGGAAACAAGTTTTCTACAATAACTTTTGATCCAAGCCTTGCACCAGGTTAATTTTACCGGCATCGTGTTCCTCTCGTCAAGACGCATCGAATAAACTTTAACCCTCGCATGTGTGCGGCGTTTGCCAGCTTCTAATGTGTAGGGGGGGGGGGTCGGTTGGACCCCCCCCCTTGCCGTTTGGCCCCTGATCGAGCTAGAGCTTCGCGGAAAAAACGAGCGTGTTGCCCGTGACGAGAGGAAGCCGATGATACCCAATTTTAAGGTCCTAGGTCATTGGTTGACCTTCCAGGTCAGGTCAATGACCCAAAGTCGGGAAAATCGGGACCTGTTAGAAAGTCGTAAAGTGTGGCTGCTAAGGGTTTTTTCGGGGTGCTGATCACGAATATCGTGTTAGTTTTGATCACAGATGATGTCTTGAAGCATTTAGACCAGGTCGGGTCAGGTCATGTCAGGTCAACCAGTAGGCGTCGTGACGGGTATTCGTAGTACGTGTCAACCGCCTCTGACAGCTTCGTAACATGTTACGAAGTCACCAAAACTACTTCGTAAATGTTCAAATGGTTGCTAAATTCGAATTCAGCTCCAAAAACTAGCCTAGAAACATGTAAAACTCGAAAAAGTGACCCGAGGTCACCCGAGGTCACCAAAGGTCAATGACCTGACCTGACCTTCAGGTGACCTTGACACACACGGGAGTAACATCAAATCACATGTTTGAACGTTTGAAACCACGAAAAGCTTGCAAACACGCGGCTAGTGCGAGCCGACATACGCGAAATCGCGATTCCGGCCAAACATGGTCTCGGAAAAGAGGTCACAGGTCAAAGGTCATTTGGGTCAGGGTCATGAAATTTTCAGGGTAGGTGTCAAATTGATCAATGCGAGGGTACTGAAAGTTTCGTCGCGATCGGCCGCTTTTTACGCGAGTTATTCGCGAAAAACCATGGGGGGGGTCCATCCGACCCCCCTACACATGTGAGGGTTAACTTGGCTTTGAAAGGTCAACTTGAAAAAAAAATTGACCTCAGGTCAAGGTCATAACCCGACTGAAAATGGTCATGCTGCATATCAGTCGATCCGTTTTGACCGTATTGTCGAGCTGAACAGGAAACAACAGGAACAGGAAAAGGGCCACCTTTAACATGGGGATTGAAACTGAGATAGCCATCTTGTAGCCCGTGTCCGAAAACCTGGCTGTCTAGTAGAGGTGGCAAAAGATGAAAATTTTGGGAACCAGACTCGAACCAGACCCGGCTGAACATTTCTGGAACCAGTCGGACCCGGTCTTAGTTGGAACCGGAACCAGTTGGACCCGTTCCCCAAAAGTCAATTAATTCAAACTACTTGTAGGTATCATTAGTTGCATCATGTAAAACAGCCTATTACCCACTGGGAATACTCAAGAGCTACTGTGTGCCAAGAAACATTCACTTCATTCACTTCATATTTTGCAATAATGTGTAGTGTGCAATACCTATGTATAGTTCATGGTAGGACCCGGTTGGACCCGTCAGAAAATTTCCAGGAACCGGTCTGGACCCATATGGGTCCAGACTGGTTCTTTGGACCGGGTCCCCGGGTCCACATTTTGCCACCTCTACTGTCTACCTCCTTACGGCCGATTTCGGCCTCCATTCGTAGTTATCGGCAATTTTAAAAGAAAATACGCCAGGAATGCGTCCTTATCTATCTATAGGAATCTTGTCCTTATCCCAGGAATGCGTTCTTATCAGACAATACAGCCACCCGCGGCGAGGCTTTGGTTTTTTATGCAATCAGCTCCAACCAGCTCAGCTTTAACCAATCAGCTTATCTGACACAATCCGACGAGTCTGTCTTCTGAACGCTGATTGGCTTGAGTGTGACGTCATCGCTATGCCATCATACAGTAGGTGCCGTAGAGAGTATCAACATAGTACCAATATGTTAAATAGTTTTAAATACTTTTTCGCGAATTGTGCACTTCTGGCACCAGTTTTAAAAAGAAAATGAAAAATAATAATGTCAAAATGAAAAACAACGATATCTTCATATTTCACGAAGGTGGCCCTTTTCCTTTAAAGGAAATAGTTCACTTTTAACATGGGGTTTTGAGCTGGAATAGCAGTTTCGTAGCTTGAGCTGAGACTAGCACAAATCAGGAGCTTTTACGGCTCAACGATCACCCTAGACGAAGATATTCCATTTCTCGTTCCGAAAAGAGTGCCTTGTAGAGGAATGCGTGCCTTGCACAGGAATGCAGCCACGTCATCGTCAGCCAATCAGCGTGCTGCTTACAGCCAATGCAGTATTCGTAGGTTTGAGCTACGCAATATGATTGGTCAATGCGTAATAAGCTTCCGCGTCAAACATTATTTTACATAGAATATAGTTCGTCCTATATTAAAATATAGAAAATAATTGTTTTTACAAAAAAGGTTTTATTTTATTTCATGATTATTTTGAGCATAAAAAATCAAAAATCAATAGCAAAATACTGATTTCAGGAAAGTGGACTGTTTCCTTTAACCCGCGCGGGGCTGGGGGGGTAAATTTTACCCCCCCCCCCTCGCGAATTTTTGCGATATCTCAAAAACGGCGGCGCGCAGCGCCGCCAAACTTTCAGTACCTTTTCTTACATCAATTTGACACCTTCCCTGAAAATTTGAGTGAAATCCGTCGGAAAATTTTTGAGAAATTGACGTTTTAGTGACGTCATGTTCGCCATTTTCGCCTCAAAAACGGCAAAAGTTCAAACGCCGCTAACATCTTCATTTTTAACCCGCGCCGTGCTGGTGGCCTGAACTTTCCGCCGAGTGCTGGGGGGGGGGGCGTTTTCACGCCCCCCCGTCTAACTCGGCTCCTGGGCCACGTAGCGACACGCGGTAAGCGGCAATCGAAACAGCGTCAAAAATAAGGACGAAAACACTTGGGTCATTTTTTGGGTCAGGTCAAAGGTCAGGTCACCAGAGGTCACCAAAGGTAAAATGTTGACTATTTCAACATTTTGGAAACTGCCAACGGCTATCTCGGGAACCGATAGAGCTACAGCGCCGCGGAAAAGCGCATTCGATAGCCCTTTTACAGACCTTTCTGATTAATGTCCTCAGATTTGACCTCAGGTCAACGGTTTAGCCTCCAGAGGGCAAAAACTCCAAAAATAGCCGTTTTTACGAAAAACGTTTTTTCGTCAATAACTTTTGACTCATAAGCGCCATGACATTACTTTTGCCAGCATCGTGTTTCTCTCGTCGAGACGCGTCGAATGAACTATTCGTTGACCTTGAAAGGTCATTTTGAAAATTTGACCTCAGGTCAAGGTCATGACCTGACCGAAAAGGGTCATGTTGCATATCAGTCGATCCGTATCGTCGAGCTGAACACATCTGACGTGTTTTCACCGCTCTAGCACGTCTCTATCAAAAGTTATAGCCAAAAAACTGCTGGCGACCGTTCATGACCTGAGATGACCTCAGGGGCACACAGAGGGGTCACAGGTGCATTTTTCCTATTCAGTGTGTCATGTTTACCTATGAACCGATGTTTGAGAGCGTTTTGAACGATATTCGTCCAAAAGAGGCGCATTTCAATTTTCTCCCATTGACTTATAATGGAGAGGTCGCAAAATTGACCTGACCTTAGGTCACAGATATCAAAAATCCGAGATATACATTTTATACATACTGTTACTCATATCAATCGCTGAAAGTTTCAAAGTGATCGTTCAGTCGGTGTAGCTATAGCGAGCCTTTGAACTTTTTCTGAGGTAAGGTCACTTGACGTGACCTGGTGACCTGACCTTGAACGGCCTAGGTCTGAAATTTTCACAACATGTGCGGAAATGATGTAGGAACACGTGTACCAAAAACGGCGGCGCTGCGCGCCGCCGTTTTTGAGATATTTGCGAAAAACCTGAGGGGGGGGCGTAAAAACGCCCCCCCCCCAGCACGGCGCGGGTTAAAGGCATCAAGACGTAACATAAAAGGTTATACGTAATTTTACTTTGTCTATCAAATGGCTATCTCGGTTTTTGGAAAATTTTGGATTTTGGCCTAATTTTTTTCAAAAAACTGATTTTTTTGGAAAAATGATTATAAAATCCAAAATTTTAAGTCTATCGAAAAAACCGGAATATATGTCAGAGAAGTGGTCTATGCGCACCTACATTCCAAATTTTAGAAGAATCGGTTCCAAAATGTAAGAGTTATTAAAAATTTTATGACGTCACGACACACAAAATTTAAAAAATGGCTTTTTTGGAAGTTCTAGACCTCGAACGGAAACAAAAATAGCACCATTCGATTCGCCGTGAAAAACTGCATCAGATAGACACCTTTTTAGGCCTTAACAACCAACTTCAAAATTTGACCTCACTTGACCTGACCTTGACCTGACCTCGACCTGAAATTCATCCAGAGGTGGTCCATATCACTTATTGAGTGTGCCTATTGAATTCTATGAGTAAAATGACCCATAAAACATGTGTCGCACATGCCCTTTTCTATATTTTGTTTTTTGGTGACCTGACCTGACCTGACCTGACCTTGAGCTGAACGACCACCAAAGAGAAGCGGAAGCGCAAGAAGCACTGCATCGAGGAAGCCGGGAGGTCGAGAGGATGGTCGAGCGCGGCCTTCGTCGAGGATGGGTCGCCAAGTCGCATCGTCGTGGCGCCGTGGGTAGACTCGCCTGTCAGCTGGCCTGCGGCACCATCTCTCGCAGGACACTGGCCGACGTGCAGTCGGTGGGAGGCGCAGAGGCGGCATGGACTCGTATCTTCGGGTCCCGCTCCGCCAGTGAAGCTGCCGCCGAGGAGTAAGTAAGTAAGTAAGTCCTGACCTTGACCTTGACCTCTGAATGATATTGTATGCAACTAATATTGTCTTGGTAGCCTAAGAACACGTTTTGGGCGATCAGTCTCAGTCCATGACTCCATTCTTCGGCAACTACGGTGCAAGGCCGATACTGTAGAAACTTGCAATTTGTACCCTTGACCTGACCTTGACCTTGACCTCAAACTTTAAATTAAGTACATGTTTTTAGTAGTTCGTGATGAGAGCTTTCGATTGGTGTTTGAATTTTCCAAATCGGACCATTAGTTCGGGAGATAACAGGGGGGGGGGGGTAAAATTTACCCCCCCCCCCCACAGCCCCGCGCGTTCGGCTGGAGACCCCAGCGCCGCGCGGCGTTTTCATCGCTCTAGCATGCCTCTATCAAAAGGTATTTGCGAAAAATGTTAGATACCATTCGTGACCTGAAATGACCTCAGGGACATAAACAGGGGTCACGGACACCATTTTCATGTTCAGTGTGTCTAAGTGACTTATAATTCAGTGTCACCTGCCGACGCTTGCCACAGCTACTTGAGTACCTGAATATATTGTGGTGCACTGAGCAAATAAAAATGAAATTAAATACTTTTATCCATAATCCAAATCATATAGTTAAATTAGAATTATCGTCGCTGGGGAGCGACGGCCGCAAATCCAACAGATATATTTTTGCTGCGTTTTAGTAAGAGGTACGGTTTGAAAAGCCGACGGCGCGCTTTATTCATTTGCTGCGCAGTCCGTGCTTATCTTGATCTGCTTATCTGTGGAGCGGCCAGCGGTGGGATAAAGTGCGTGATATTTTCACTTTTTCTCAATATTCTTAGTGTTCCACAAGAGCAAACAGCTCAATAATCAATTCATCACTTATAATGTAAGTTTTCTTTCATTGGGTAACAGTTCATGGGTAACAGTTGTTGAGTATTGAGTAATGAGTGAGTCACTGATACTGAAACTATTGCAATGGTGGTGGGGGTTCCCTGCATTCGCTGGCAAATTGCAATGGTCAGAGTGACATCATTTATCAATAATAATGCTACTCCTCCTTTCCTTCCATCCCATCTGCCATGTATCACAGCTTCTGATGGTACTGGAGACTAGCACAAATCAGGAGCTTTTATGCCTCAATGACAATGATAACCCTAGGCAAGGATATTCCATTTCTTGTCCTGAAAAGATTGCCTAGTATGCTTGGTTTGCAGAAGAATGCCAAGAATGCAGCCACCTGTCACAGAGGCCAGCATCACTGTCGGCTAATCAGCATGCAGCTGGCTTCAAACTATGCAATTTGGTTGGTAAACACATAATGATCTTATGCTGCCTCCAGTGACCACTAAAAACCCTCTGCTTAAAATGAAATTTAGTACTTCCTATATGAAAAATAAAAAAAAATTCCTTTTGTGAATATTAATTGTTTTGTTTTCTGCTCATTTAACCCGCGCATGACTGCGGCGGGGCTCTATAGAGCCGGGAGCCCCCCCTCCCGTTTTTCAGCAATATCTTCTAAAGCGTTTGACAGATCGACATGAATCTTGCGGTACCCTCAGCAGCATCAATTTGACACCTTGGGTTAGAATTTCAACTTTCTAGCTACCATAGTTTGGCCGGAAATTACGTCAGAGTGACGTCATGTCGGCTGATTTTGATGTAAAATATTGAATTACGGCAAACGCTCTCAAGAGCTCAGTTTTGAAGCTAAATCCATTTTCTTTGCATGAGTGGAATACAATTACATGTAACTATCAAACTGCTATCTTGAATTTTCAAAATTTTGAAAATTTCAAATATATTTCTTGACAATTACAAAAAATGTATTTTTTGATTTTTCAAAAAAAGATTTTTTGCAAAAACCGGAATATATGTGATAGAACACCTTCTGATGAACTACACTAGCAAGTTTTAGTCCAATATCTTCAAAAATAGCCAAGTTATTCGCATTTTTGTCAACATTTTACAATTACATATATATCAAATCCGTTTTTATTACGTTTTTGACGTCGCACAGCAATATAAATGGCACCATGGCACCATCGTGTTCCTGAGCTCAAACTGCATCTGATAGGCGCCTTTTTTGTTGAAAACTTTGGTTTTCAAAATTTGACCTTTTCTGACCTGAAGGTGACCGGACCTCCGGTAAATGTAACTGACAATGACCTCAAATGACACAAACGACACTATTTTCGAAATCTACGAGTAAAATGGACCATAACACATGCGTCACGTGACCGATACATGATATACAATTTTCGTGACCTAGGATGACCTGGCCTTGACCTTAAAATTTCGAAGTAAAAGTTCTTTATCCTCAGAGTATCTAAGGCATCTTTGACGGAGTGCGTAGACCAAAAATGAGCCTGATCGGGCTTGTCAGCCGGCGGTCAGAGCCTAAATTGTGAACTAGCAAAATTGTCGATAATTTTTATTTTGACCTGACCTGTGACGTCATCGGTGACCTCGAGGTCAATGAAAATAGGTTTCGCTCGACAGTTTTTCCAGGACTATCAGACGCCGTTTGAATTTTGACGATCGGCCCAGTAGTTTCGGAGATGGAGGGGGGGGGCTCTGGAGAGCCCCCCCCCCCCCCAGTCACTCAATTTGTGTCAAGTTTCAAGATGATTTACATGCCTACTTCTGGGCCCCTGTCTGCTGATCAATCCTACATTTTCCCTCTATTGCTGTTTTACCAGCCCTCTGCTTGTTTTCAGCTGCATTGGCTTTTGGATGACACAGCAATGGCCTCTTCCTTTACTACTACTCAGCAGCAGCTGCACCCAGTAAGTAGGCAAATTGGTTTTTCTATTTTAAAGGTTTGGTAAATTTGAGAATGGATGGATTGGTTCCAAAATATGCAATGAGATACAGGGATTTTGTGCCAGCAGTTTGGTAAGCTGAAATCGGTTTCAATTCATTTTTCATCCTAATTAAGGCCGCACCGTAGGGGCTGGATATTATTCCCTTCCTACTGCAGTTGGAGTTACCTTTCCCTCTCCGGAGCCGCAGTGTCCGGTGCCTGCAGATGTCGCTGGTGTGACGCCGCTCTCTGTGCAGATGTCGCTGGCGTCGGTGCTGTCGGCGCCGCTGGCCGGGCGCGGCGAGCTGCTCGGCCGACTGTTCGCCGAGTCGCCCCTGAAGGAGCTGGCCGCCATCTACCCGGTCCTCCTGGAGGAGGTGTTCGGGTTCGGCGGCCGGCCCGGCTGGAACCTGCAGCTCATCACGCGCAAATGCCACCCGGTGGAGTTTGAGAGGGTGCGTACTAACTGCTAAGTAATCAGCCTGCTGAGTGGTAGGCAGAGTGCACACTGCACAGATTTGACCGCTTTGTGGTTTTAATGCCACGAATAGCTAAATGAGGCTCGCCTCATTTCAACTGATATGAGATAAGATATTTGTATGTTTAGTGCGGTCTGCTGTACATATGTAATACCATAAGTGTGTCCGTGTATTACTGTCTGAAACACTGGCCGTTTGGTCCGTGCCCAGGTGCGCGCGCTGTTGCAGCCGACGGGTCCGCTGTTTAGTGTCATCTACCGACTGATGGCGGAGCCGCACGTCACCTACGAGTTCCCGGCCGCCTGTCTGCCGGTCAGTATGTATAGCCTAGTTACCGGTCAGTATAGCCTAGTTACCGGTCAGTATAGCCTAGTTACCGGTCAGTATAGCCTAGTTACCGGTCAGTATAGCCTAGTTACCGGTCAGTATAGCCTAGTTACCTACCGGTCAGTATAGCCTAGTTACCGGTCAGTACAACCTAGTTACCGGTCAGTATAGCCTAGTTACCGGTCAGTATAGCCTAGTTACCGGTCAGTGTAGCGTAATTACCGGTGGGTGTAGTCTAGTTACCGGTCAGTACAGCCTAGTTACCGGTCAGTATAGCCTAGTTACCGGTCAGTACAGCCTAGTTACCGGTCAGTATAGCCTAGTTACCGGTCGGTATAACCTAGTTACCGGTCAGTATAGCCTAGTTACCGGTCAGTATAGCCTAGTTACCGGTCGGTATAACCTAGTTACCGGTCAGTATAGCCTAGTCAGTCCAGCCTAGTTACCAGTCAGTATAGCCTAGTTACCGGTCAGTATAGCCTATTTACCGGTCAGTATAGCTAGTTACCGTCAGTCTGCCGGCCTGTGTGCCGGTCACTGGGGCCCGGCGTCGCGGAGTATGGGGCGGCGACCGGACGAGCTCCTTGGTGGCAGGGGGTACGGCGGGGTGATGTGTAGTGACTCGTCATATACGAAAACACACTTCATAGAATGAAGACTGACACACCTCACTGTAAATGGCGCTAGTTGCTGGAAAGTAGAAATGCTATATCCCGCCATCCCCGCCAGCTGCGCTTCATAGCCCGATGTGTCATTCGGGTAGTTCCCTGGGCTCGGTAGTTTGGGACAGAGTGGATAAGGCACCCAATCGGCTGTGACCGCTCTCCTGTGTCCAGCCGGCCGCTGTGCCGGCCTCTGTGACATGCCTCGTCGTCTGACGGTGAGTCTGCGCCGTGCCCCGCAGGGCGGCTCGGTAGGCGGCGGCGGCGGCGCCGTCTCTGCGCTCTCCTCAGGCCAGTGGTCGCTGCTCAGTCCCCAGTCGGCTGCCGGCGCCGGCGCGCCCGCCTGGGGCGGCTCGCTGATGCTCAGCCCGTTCGAGCTGTACCTGCACCACTTCTGCTACTTCCTACTGAACCCGGCGCAGCAGGCGGCGCCCATCGCCTGGACCTCGCCCGGCGACGCCCTCTATCCGACCCTGCTCGAGGACCTGATGGCGCACTTCCTGCCGTGCGGCGGCGGCTGGGTACCGGCGCTGCCGCAGCCCACGGCGCACCGGCACCTGCACCAGCTGCACCACCCCGGACTCGGGTCAGTAGTTACTAGAGGGAGTCCGGGACTCGCGACTGGGGGGGGGGGGGGGACGGCCGCTGGTCGCTGGAGGAGGGAACCCAGCTCTGACTGGGGAGTGGATATGTCGCTACAGCTGTCAGACTCGACGCTGCAGCCGCGGTAGGATGTATGACTCTGAGTCGGAATGCACAGTTTTCTGGCTCTCTGAGTCGCTCTGAGCACTGCAGCTGTGACTAAGTACCCGAGTCTCCGGATTGACCGGTGTTCTGACCGCCGCTGTGTCCGTGTTGTTCCAGTCTGACGCCGGAGCCGCGGCGCCAGGTGACGACGCCGCCGCGTCTGCTGCTGCGGAGCTCGCTGCTGCGGCCGGCCAGTCCGGGCGGCGCGGGCGGCTCGCCGGCCGCCGGCGGCCTCTCCCACGGTCACGGCCACCTGCCTGAGACGTGGCGCAGCGAGACGCTGCTGAGGACGCTGGCCGCCTTCTGGCTGGAGACGGGCGCGCCGGGCGGCGACCAGCGGCCGCCATCGCCCGGACAGGTCAGTCGAGCGGGGGTCGGAGGGGGGGGGGGGGGGGCTATATCTGACCAGCGGCCGCCATCGCCCGGTCAGGTCGGTACAGCGGGGATAGCAGGGTGAGGGCATAGCTGACTGCGGCCGCCATCGCCCGGGACGATTTGGGACGATGGGACGATTTTAACTACTACAGTGGCGCTTTGCACCCAGTGTTGTACATAGATCAATAAGTCAAATTATCGGCACTACTACTATATGGAGTCATCGCATTACATTTTTACACCGGTCTGATTGCATTGTGTATTGCATATCTTTCCCTGTGATCACTTCACTAGCCATATGACCACGAGTAACTTAACCAGTTCCAAGAGGGTAGTCTCAGATATTTCATGTGAGTGATGTGAGCAGAGTTTAGTATATACAGACTCAGTGGCTCATTGCAGCGACATTAGTCTGACTGAGGTGATCAAGTGGTCGGCCATGCGTTTTTCTTTTTGTGTGCCACATTTAGCCGCTACCTGCAGTCCAAGCAGTTCAGTCAGTGTGTTGATGGTTGACAACATGGGTTCAATGTCACATGATGCATAAGCGCAATCTTTTAAAAGTAATGTTCTGTTAGCTGTTCTGAACCAAGCAGCCAATTTTAGGACAGTCCCGTTTGTACTCTACCGTAGGTTCACCTGAAAGTTTGTTTTGTTCAGCCGGTTTCTGCGTGTTCCAGAATGACTCCTTTTCTGCCAAGTCGATTCTGTACGACCTTGTAAGTGTTCAGAGACTGTTGTATACGCTGTAGCGCTAACCGTGGCTTTCTCCTTCCTACTGTCGAGTGTCACCTGCTTCTGCTTATTAATAGGCTTCGAGCTGCGCCTCTGTCGCTAGTTAACCAGCCACTGCAGTATACTCGTATAACCGACTATTACCGGTAACCTGTGCTCCGCCGGCCGGGCCTGCCGTCGCCAGACGCTGCAAAGGGACGGTCTTTCTGTACCTCTCTGCTTCCTGTATTTTTCTATAATCCAGGCCATTTGTGGAACTTAAGAGGAATCAGTGTGCGGTAGGGTTGTTGATTTAGCTGTTGATATATTTCGAATTTGTTGAACGACCAACGCATTTTATTTGTGAGCAAATCAATCGTAACAAAGAGCTGAATGGTACTGTATTCGTAGGTAAACTCGTATCACAGCATTGATAGCAAGATGTTGTTTCGAAGATAGACGTAAGACGTAATAAGGTGCACCTGAGACGGCATGGGACGTAAATACACGTGATAAGTGTAGTCTTGTTCTAACAGCGTGTTGCTTTGGATACAACCAAAAGTAGTGGAAATCAAGCATCAAAGATGTGTATCTTTTGAACAGCTAGCCAGCCTTTTCATTGAGAGGAATGTTGGTGCTCTTTTTCCTTACTAACCAGTATGTGTGTGTGTGTGTGTAACTGTAGATACGATATTGTACTGCGTGCTCGGTGGAGGTTTGGTCGGTGACGGACATTTCTGTGTATCGTTTTAGAGTACTCGACAGATAGACGGAAAAAAATTCATTTAAATGGTAGCAGGCTTTTTCTCAAGATACCTTTTTACGAGCGAGCGAGCGCAGCGAGCGAAGTGAGTCTTTTCAATATAACGGAAAAATCTCAGTATGAGCGGCCCGGCCCGGCCCGGCCCGGCCCGGCCCGGCCCGGCCCGGCCCGGCCTGTAACGCTTTTGAGAGGCTTATATCTCAGCAACCGCTGGACCGATTGGCCTGCGGTCTTTTTTGCTGGGTAGCCCCATCCCTTCTACCCCGTAATTGACTAATTTTGATACATCTCAGTGACCGTCATGGCACGTGCCACGTGAAAAGTCAAGGGTGTTCAAGCTGTTTTGCAAAAGTAGTGATTTTGAGAGGCTCATATCTCAGCATCCGCTTGGGCGATTGACTTGCGGTAATTTTTGTAGGGTAGCAGCATCCCTTCTACCCAAAATAGGATACTCTCGATGCATGTGGGTCACCCCCAGTGCACGTGCAAAATACAACAATAAGAGGTGTCAAATTTGTTCCCATTTTAATAAC